GAGGCAGGGAACCTCAGACTTGATCTTCTCGTCGATNACCCATCTCTTCTGTAGGTAGCTAGCAGCCCTACCTCTCACTGCCCCTTCTAGTCTAGGGAATCTACATCTTTGCATCATCTCTTGCTGTGTCACTTGTGGTTGCTCCGCTCTCAGCACCAACCCCTTCACCAGTAAGCTTTGTCTTTGTTTATCTGGTGGCACAGCTCGTTGGCTGTGACAAAGTCCGACCTACTGTGCACAGTCCTGAACATTATTCCTGCATCCGGTTGCTCATGTGGCCTCCCAAATGTTTTAGTACAATATAGCACCTGTTCTTATCTGAGTTTGCGAAGTCATCAGTCCAGGTCCCTTGAGCTTAAAGGTTGCTGAGGCCGATCTGACCTGGGGCATTGACATCCCAGTCGTCATGGTCTAGGCTCTTGGTAATCAAGTAGAGAAGGTGTGGAAAATATTGTCAAGCCCTAGTTGGAGAAGCAGATGACCACGATTGCGGTATATGTCAGCTATATCTCCTACAGAAAACATTTGGCTCAGGAACTTTTGATGCGACCGAAGGGACACAGGAAGCAACTGTTTCCGAGGACTTCTGTCTGGTGAAGCAGAATCTTCACGAAGAGTTTTCCTGTGCTTCCCCTCTTCGTTGACTTCTTGCTGATACAAACATGTCCAATCCCCTGCCCCAACACGCGACTACATCAAATACAAGTCTCAGCTTCTCTCTCTCCGAGTACTCAACTGTGGACCAAGGTGCACAACTGACGTTACACAGGAAGCAGAGTCAATTCACATCCAAGGTAAGTCTTACAGGTTTGCACAACTACTCGAGTTTGAAGAGCGTGCGGACCGGGTTGGCCGATGGCCGGTCCCCATCATCCCATCCTCGGCCAATCACGATGAGGTTCCCACGATTGATTGACGGGTCCATCATTGACATGACCTATTGACCCTTTGACTTGACGCATCGACCGACCCCGTCACTGACGGGTCAATGACAACACTGCTTACATCGTCTAAGGTCAATGGCTCACAGGCGACAATGAATATGCTACACTATCATGATGGCATATCGTGATCTGTTTGATTACTGCAAGGGAAGCTGGTATACGTGATGGTTGGCACATAGAACAACATCGTGATATAGCAAGGTTTATCACGCTTTAGACCATCTGCCTCGCTCCATTGCTTACGCTCTGTAAATCTCGTGTGACACCTGACCGTGACATCGATATTCGATGCGGCGATGGGATCGTGATTGTTGAGCTAGAGCTCATGCAGCAGACTGAACATTGCCGCGACTACATATCTGTCCCACAGAAGATCTTGTGTGTAACATGCGATGTCTCCATGCCTATTGATAGAAACAAGGCATGAAGGTGCGCACCGGGAAAGGTTCTGCGCCGAGCTCACTACTAGATCGTGTCTCACCGCGTCAGAGACTCGGACACCCTGGTCCAACTATGACTTTTGAGCGATACGATTAGGCAGAACAGCGCATATGTGGAATTCGCGTGGCCAGTATGGTATGTAGCTTATGGCTTTACAGTCAGAGGTATACGAGAGCATGGGAAGCAGGGGCATATGCTGCGCAAGCACGCATCAGCGAACAAAGGAGCCGGGTGCATACAAGTCAACTATTGGTAAGTGAAGATGCAAGATGTCCGTGGAATCCACAGATCCGGAAATGAAATGAGGACCCAGAAGAGTGTTCATATCTACATGCAGATGGCGGCACGTTGTGAGTGTCTTTTGAAGAGGTAGAGTAGGCAAAAGTTCATACCCGCCGGTGAACACAGTATACGTAATGCATTATGCCCGGAACGGCTCATCGTGCACCTAGCGGCATTGATGAGTACATGCTATTGAAGTCTGTATGTGAGACTTACGAGTACGTTCATACTTCCGATCTAGAATGGAGAGTGCGATTAGACAAGAGTCCACTAGAGTAGTGTCTGGTGACGTACTTGGGGATGAGGACTGTTGAAGATCTCAAATCGAGACCCCAGTTCTTCTCCGGGCTCGTGTTTTGCACGCCACGCCACCAACCGCCGCTGACTCCAATCGTGCAGCCTCAATGTCGTTTCTTGATGTATATTATGTCTACGCAGATCATTTCATTGGGTATGCTGATAGGTCCTGAGACGTAAGGACCACGCACCCAACTCGTTCGATAAGTCTGCGAAGAGGCATGTAGGGAGTCACGTCTATTAGGTGAGAAAAACGTTGAAATTTCATAGATCTGCGCGCGACGTTGAGACTCACTTAGGCATTTGATCATCGACTACGTGAGGATGTGCGTCAGTGCATGCTTGAGGCAATCTCCCGTGCAATGGGTACTGATGTATGTTGTGGACGTACCTGGGTCATTGTTGGGCCTTTTCTACTTTCCCAAGTTTGTTCGGCGTCTTGACATGCGGATATTGAGATCTCCCAAGGTCACCTGATCACGATGTGTAAAGTAGTCCTGAAGAAAACTGCTCACAACATGTGCTTTTGGTCTTTGTGATTCAGGCTTGCATTTAAAACCGTCACAGGGGAGGTAAGTTTCGGGCTCGGCACAGCGCTTGAAGAAGATTCCCTTGAACGTGAACTTGTGGGGGATTGAGAATACCCGTCGCGCTTTTCTCTTCTCAATTGCCACAGGATCGCCATGGCGAGGGACTTCCAGCGTCGACGAGCGCGTGATAATGAAGCGCCTTCCACTCGTCGCGCCCGCCGTAGCAAGGTCGTTGATGACCTGATCGCGCTTGAGGATGACTTGAGATTTGGAGCGCGTCCGCTCGCAAATCTTGAGACATGGCTGCGGCTCGCCTAATGCAGCTGAGTGCGATTTGTCTTACATGTCTTGTCAGTCATGAGTATATGGTCGGAATTTCCTGCAACATACCTGTTCCGGTCAACGAGATTTCATCCGATGCCTTGAGATCCACCTTGACGATATGGTCATCCACGACTTCGCTATGATGAGTACCTATATAGAGTTTCGTAGATGAAGTGACACAAACCTGTCTTGCGTCCTGAAAAGATTATGACTCAGCCTCTGAACGCGCAGACACGGTTCGGGATGCATCACGTACGCAGAACAGCACGACGCGTCAACCGAAGGTCGCGCTTTCCCCTGTTGACCCACGGAAAGTAGACGTTGTTGCACGCGTAGTGGTCCAGATCCAGCAGAGTGCCTGAACAGCACGAGTCGAAGATGCACGTTAGGTGGGCGCCCACTGGGAGGGGATCGACTAGCAATTCTCGGAGAACCTGGCGGCCAACACTATCAGTCACCATTCCTTGTTACTCAGAAAGTACACTGGGACGCACATCATCGAGTATGGGATCGACATCATTGGAGGAAGAGTAGGGAACAATTGCTATGCCCAGCGGGATCAGTTACACGCCATAACGGTAGGGGGTGTGCAGCGAACAGATTCTCACCTTCGTCAAACCCGTCGTCCTCGTTGATGCTCTTGCTCTGAATCTGAGTACCGTGTCCCGAATCTGACACAATGATGTCGATAGGTTGGAGATGGACGCGAGAACGAAGGACTTGCGGATGAGAGTGCTTACAGTAGAACATGAACCGGTCCCCAGGGCGGGCTCCGGCTACCAGTGCCTTGATCTCGTGGAGCTGGCGCACTCTGTGATAGGTATCCCAAAGAACCACGCATCGATGAACGAGTTGAACTCACGAGATTCTCCTTGTTCGGCACGAGGTTCTTGGGGGTTTCCTCGGCGTCGAGCATGAGGGTGATATCGGTCGCCTTATAGTGGTACTTGTCTAGAAACATACCGTCGCTGAGTTCGCCAAGTAGGCAACCCTCCCAGACAAGCCAGACTACACACACCGATGAGGACTTGTCGCCATGCTCGCGCATCGGTGTGCGGACTGCGAAGTGTCTCCCCCACCCTGTTTTTGTACGTGATCCCGATGATCAGCGCCCTTCGTATCGTCTTGCTCGCCTTCGTTGATCTCGACGACCTGGCTGAGTCGGACGTAGAGCTCCTCTTGACCTTGGGAATGTTAGGGAACATCGAGGATTTCGGCATCATGGATCGTGTGTGGGGTCTGGGCCAGAATGGGGAGAGAGGGATTGACGGCGAGGGGTTGTAGATATATGCCATACATCATGGCACGTACCGCCTAGGTCAGGCAGTGCGCCACAAAAGCAAGTACGTCGGACGCAGCGAGAACGCGGTGCCTCATAACTCCGCTAGCGGGTGTTCGGACCTGCCTTCTGGCTAGGATATGAGCGGAATGTGACATGCTATGCCGAGGCACGTCGTAGACGCGTGTGAAGTGGCAAGCAGCATTCCCATCAGCGGCACGCTCGGCTGCATCGTTGCCCAAACAGTGACTATTCGAGCGGCGCCTTCAGCCCCAGCCGTTCGATACGCTGTATAGAACAGTGCGAACGCGAAGGTTGCGAGTGTAGGCCAGCCTACGAAGAAGACTTCATAGTAGTCGTACAGCATCCACGCAGCCAAGTACGTTAGTTGACAGAGAGAACGTAGCATATCTCTATGTATCATGGCCAGCACAGGGTCCACAAGACGCCCTACTCCCAGCCAACAGAACTGTCCTGAGGATGAATGCGCCATCGGAAAGCCAAGCCTGATATGAATTCCGAGCGAGTCGACAGAGTCTAGTACAGGTGGAGCATGCGCTGAGCAGGCTATCCGGAGCTACATGTAAGTCCGGAGCAAGGCGCAACAGATGAGCGTCCGGGGCAGCGTCCAAGCAGGCCTCTCAAAGTCTAGACGGTCCAAAGCACAGTTGTTTTGACATCCAGTAGCCGGTGCCGTGACGGAGATGAGATATATGCCCGAAGGAATTGAGAGGGAAGTCTTAGGGCAGAGCATGGCCGCGACCACATACCTATTGTACTGATTCAGTGGCGAAAGCCCCCAATACGGAATCCTTGTGCACTGCGTTCATAGAAAATCAAGCCATACCAAGACATTCTATGCACTGATTGAGCCAGCCCAGCTTCACCGCGCCAGAGACGTCACTTGGCTGACCAATTTGCCGTGGAGAGAGGAGCATTCGTGAACACCATCTTGAGAGTGTTGGCGATGCAGGATAGCTTTTCATCCCGCCGAATCGCCGCAAAGGTGTTATTGTGGCCGACAGCGGCTATGTCGATAGACAAGCGGCGACAATTCACAATTCTGAGCGCCGGCTGCAATGTCTCCAAGGGGAGGCGCCGTATGGGTGCACACAATGAGACGCACCCCATTGAGATTCGATGCGGCCACCGGTCTCCCGAGAGTCAGATCATAGGGGAATAGGTCGCGAAGGCGCTCCGATCCGACCCCCGGGACTCTGTCTCCATGCACTTGGCGCAGCTTAGGCTTGAACCGAGGCCCTGCACAGCGGCATGACCGCATCTGCAAGCGACATCTTCCATGAAGAAATTGGAACAAAGATAGCCTGTACTCACCTCCAAACTCCGAATCGCCTCGAACCCTATCTTCCTAAGCAATTGTGGTAGACCAGTGCCAGCGGAGACTAGAACAAGCATGCTAGTGCTTACGTTGATGTCTCAGACCCCCTTAAGAAAGTCTCTAATGTCAGGCCAGAGCGGGGGACAGCACTTGTTCTCGTTATAAGAAACCAGCTCGTACAACAAGGCGAGCAACACAGCACAGTAGACTACGATAGACCCAATCGAAGTAACAAAGCAACATCGAGCAGTCTTCCTGAGGAGCGCAGCCGAGTCTCATTAGCACAGAAGATGTCCCAGAATGTCTAGATGCAGAGGGAGGGAGGTGTGCGTGCATGAAGGGTCGTCAATGATGTGGTTCGAAGCAAAGACCACTGGGCGCCCGTTACCGTCGGAGACAGCATTGGAGCGAACAGACGCGCGGAGTAAACCAGTGCCACGGCGAGGCACCCCGCTTGCACTATACTTAGCTTCACCTCATTCGTTCTAAGCACAGCAATGTGGAATATGTTCCAAGGGTGGTGGGCCGCTCTATGGTCGGAGGACATCTACGCAATCAATCGATTGGACGTCGGGAGTCACGGCGCGTGGTGGACGCAGGAGAGCCCGGCCGTGCTATGTCAGGCAGATTCTATCCCAACGTGCGCCAAACGCGGGTTGCATTAAGTATGTACTCGCAGCAGGGCTAAAGCTTAGTGTGGATATGCAAGATACGAGCAGGGGTACGTCCAGATTGCTCGCAGCTCCTGTGCCATGGAGAAAGGGAGCCCGTCACTGACCACTCTTGAGCATTCTGGCCCCTGTAACCAACAAATGACAACCTTCTTGGTGCATATTGTAGTCGAGCTCAAGTCCACGCGTACTGCTAGCCTCTGAGCAAATGGCTCTATCTCGTTTTGCATTCCCAGGCTTTATGGGTTGGGGACGTGGTACTAGTACAACGTGTACAATTGTTTCGTGTTCAATTATTGGCAACCATGCAACGGCCGTGCAGCTTCTGGAGACTACAAGCTGAGAAAAGCATACGCAGTGCTAGAGGGGGGAGGATACGGAGGATGGAGGAAGACGACGTGATAGGAGAGTGGTATGATGCGAGGGTCGCAGGTTTTCCGGAATACTCTACAAGACTGCGACTTATGGTACAATACAGAGTTATGGAGGTCGTTTCCGTTCATATGCGATGGGAATAAACGACATGCGATCGCTTTGGGTATCAATGCGCGAGTATGGGTATCGGGTGCGAGAGCTAGGCGAGAGCGACGACAACAAGAGGACGGAACAGGCGGCCCGCGCGCCGTGGACGATCGCACGCGACCGCGCTCACGGCTTCGTGACTTGCAGCGCCCAGACCGACCCAGGAGCCATGCCCTTTGCAGGGATACCGCCCGGAACCGGGGAAAGCCCCAGGAATGCAGTGCGATCGCAGAGGTAGTCGACACGCTTGATGAACTTGACCTTCTCGCTCTCGCGCTCGGCGGGCTGGGCAACGCGGCGATAGCGCGAGACGTACGATGCGTGGATGCGTTCGCGCAGCGCAGGTTCGACTGCACCGAGTTCGTGCTGCGTCACCCCGAGGCGGAGCGTGCGGTAGAGGGTGTGCAGGACGTCGCCTACAGTCACGTATGGTGCAGACCAGGCGGCGCCTGGAGTGGGTATGACGATGATTGTCCAGGGGAGGTATGCACATGATATGGCCAGGGAGGGGAGTGCAGGGTGTGTCGCGGGCTCACGCACCAGGGCGTCGGTGAGCCGCGAGGGGGCAGAGCCCAGGTGGGGGCGGGCGGATTCCGCGGGCTCGGACATGTTCCATGACATGGAAGTGCCGTTACCGAGCTGGTGTGCAAGGATCGGGTTCAATGAGACTCCACCCGGCAGGTACTGCGAGGGTGCGTGGAGGCCACCCTTGACCGGTAATGGTGAGCGGAGGACCTGAGGCGGCGTGGCCGGCCCAGGCGATGAAGTCAAGGTAGAGTTCGAGAAGGTCGATGAGGGGGTGGACGGAACGTCCGCGAAGTGTACGTGCTTTCCCGGCATGGCTGCGATTGGTTTCGGACGGAGTAGCAGTAGCGGTTGGACAGGTAGACACTGCTGTCGGGATAGGGTTGGTGCGGGGACGGTTTGGTAGTTGGAAGCACGACGACAGTCCTCGTGTTAAGTATACATGCGGGGGCGGGATGAAGCGCGCATGCAAGTCTGCGGCAGCGGAAGCGGGTGGTGGACATTGTATCTTCAGAGCCGGTGCACCGCTTGCGGTCCTCTCTGCATGTCGCCGCTATGGACTCAATGTGAGTCAAGATGAGGCAGAGCGGGACGGGAAGCGTAACTTTTGGAAGTCGACGATCGAAAGCCGCCACCGCTTCGCAGCCACAGAAGCAAGTACTGGTATGACTGTGCGTGTGGAGGTCCCAGGTCCAATACCCATCGGGGGAAGGTGGCAGTCGAAAGAGGCAACTTGCGCGTTTCGAGCGCTCGTTCCTCTCACCGCCGCCATCCATCAAATCATAGCCTCGGCGCCGACTCGGGACTTGACTTGACGTAATCGCCGATGCTCTCGACATGACTGACTGCCGCTATTCAGATCGCTCTCGAATTCGATATGTTCAGATGTCCTCCGTCTTATCGGGAGAGCCGGAAATAGCCTCTTTGCTTCCGCTGAAGCGGCAAGTGTCAGGTGAACGCAGGCGAAGGACGACAGTTACTGCACAGCAAGAACTCACCCACGTGTGCAGTTCGCTGCGTTCAGCTGCGGGGCCCAAAACATCCGTCAAGTCCTCTTATCGGATGGTCTGGTTCAAGAGCTCGTTTCTGGTGGAGTCCGATGCCAATGCGCTCAACCTTCTGTTGTGTCATCATGTTATCGGAACCCGTGAGCTGAAACAGTCAATACTCACGGCATTGCGTTCCTGAATCGTCGAGGCTGCGCATCATAGACGGTTCACAACCAAATTCATGACCCTCTCGTGGCATATTCAACCTATCCACAAGGGCATTGATACGAAGCGCGACCAACACATAATGTCTGCCTGCATGGGTGTAGAGAATAGGAATTGGCCTGAGGTAAACGTATCACCAGCCAGGCTAGTATTGGAGGACCATACCAGCAATAATGATGCTCACCAGAGCAAGATAGTGGAAAAGGTTTGCAAGACTCTGCGCTGACGGATTGTTAACGGCATGGGCTCGTATTTGCCTTGATGGCCGCGGTGGGAGACTGCTGGACACACTAAGACTGTTACCAGAAGGAAGGAAAGTGAGAACGACTGCGCATACTATTAGGACAGCCAATGTCGGGGAACAAGTCGAGATCGCCACGTCGCGCGCGTCCGCCGACGCGCGTTGACGGCGTCTAAACCCCACCGCGGTCGACCGCTGGCGCTTCAGCTTCAAACCTCACGCGAATGCACTCCTCTATAATGCTGTCGGCCCTCTCTCCGGACCACACCTCGCGAAAAACCTATGTGCTTGTCTCATGTGTTGTGCAGTCGCATCGATAGTCTTTGCGCCTGAGGGCTTGATGTGCAAGACACAGCCGCAAATATCCCTCACATACTGATCCTTGGAAAACGACAGGGATATCAGTCAAATAAATTTTTTGGTCCTTATAGTTATAGCAAAACGCGAATTATTTGGCCCAAATGTTATAGTGGCCCCTCCAAATATTTGAGAGGGTTGGAGGGATGCCCCTCCTAGATATTCGAGGTGAACCCCAAATATTTGGAATGTATATAGGAGCGAAGGGAGGAGGGTACTCTCGCTCCACCAAATATTTACCAAATATTTAGTGTCAGCGCTACATAGCGAGGATCTGCTTGTATGCGCTGTGGGTCCTCTTGTGATTCCCCCAGATATTTGTTAAATAATTCACCCAAATATTCTTGATTCAGTACGATGGTGTGTGCGGCAACGTCGGTGCTCATTCTGGCTAATCTATTACAAACTCTCAACTACATCTACAGAATACATCTACAGTCAGTGGAGCACAAGAGAGCACATTGTGGCAGAACGACCGCCCTCCGTGAGACGCCACCATACCTCCCTGGGCCTCCAACATCCCCTGCTCCACGTCACCCCAGCCTGTAGATTAATCAGGGTGCGACAGGTTAGAAAAGGGCGCGATGCGAGGTTATGAGCCACTCAGGCAGGTAACATTCGCCTGACGCTTGCGCTGAGGTGGGCCACCAAACTTCGCATCGTCGGGGTTCCGCTACATCTGGTGAGGTAGCTAGTATAGCTCCTATAGTGTACCAGTGACAACTGCACGATCCACCGAGTGAGTGAAAACATCACCGAATGAGAAACGACAGAACAGCAACTTACACTTGACGTTCGCAGGCATCGGCGCGTGGGCAGGATCCTGGGATACCTTGCTACCTTGGCTGTGCCAGCTCTGCGACGACACGCTCTTCGCCGTCGTCGACACCGAGCGAGTGCTATGTAGCGCGTGAACGCCGAGGTCGATGTGCCCACGCTCAACATCGAGCTGCGCGAATTGCTGGACACCATCAAGCTCGCTCTCAACACCAGTGGCCGCCCGCTCCGCGTGCTGGACTGCGAGATCCCGCGCTCGGATCCCTTGTCCCCGGCGCTGCCGTTGGGTCTGCCATAGCATCGTTTCGGGCTTCCGCGAGCTTGACTCGTCCGGGATGTCACTGTGGTGCCCCTGCCCTTGCGAGCGCCGCCCTTGCGTCGCTTATGAGTGGAGATCGGGCGGGAGTCGCGCTCTCTTGCTCAGTCTCGCCATCGGGAACAGCCGATAGCCATCGGGAACAGCCGATAGCCATCGGGAACAGCCGATAGCCATCGGGAACAGCCGATAGCGTGATAGGACTCTCATGCTTGTGCTCGAATGCAGGGCCCAAGAATGGAGGCCCATGAGAGGTTGCGAGAGGTACGACGGGACATAGCCTCGCCAGCCAGGCGGCGCTTCATGGTTATTTTTGCAAGAGGTGGCTGGAGGCATCTAGGAGGGGCGGACGGGAGTCCTGCTGAGGGCTGAGGCTGAGGAGAGATGAGTTAAGTGACGCCCGAGCTAGAGGACATTGTGAGGGAGTGGGCAGAGCGGATCGTGCCTGGGGCGAGTGTCCGGACTGGAGGATGCGGTGGAGTTCGGCAGTGTCCTCGATGCGCCTGCAAGTGTTCCTACAAAAGCGACACACAAGGAGGATGAGTACGTACTGGTAGTGATGGCGGTACGGAAATTGGCAGGCTTGGGGAGTTCCCAACCCTCCGTGGGTTGGCAGCGGGGTGCTTCTTGGTGGGGACGATACGCGTCCGAGCTGTTCTTCTCGCCCCTTCGTCGCGTGGACCTCGAGCGGGAGGTTGTTTCTAGCCCTTTAAGAGACCACAGCGGGCGTAAACGGCAGAGCGGGAGAGGCGGCCGAGGCCGAAGTTGTGAGCCATCCACAGCTGCAGAGGGATGGATTACTCACCGTCTGTTGCGGTTGCCCCACCAGTGTCTCATCCCTCCCTCTCCTCCCACCACCGCCTCAGCTTCATGGGTCCTGGGTCCTGCGTTATCCGGGCAGCCAGGCGGTCCGAAGGCGGTGCTGAGTAGAACGACAGACGGAGACGCATGGAGGCCTGAGCAGAGGGAGACGTGGCAGGGTGCGGAAGATAGACGCTTGATGCGCTGGCGGGCGCATGCCAGCGTCTAACTTCCAGCTCGCTGCCAGTCGCGCTTGCTGTATACATAGGCATCTTGTACTGTCTCCGCATCCACCCTTTCCCATCTCGCTTTCCTCGTCTTCTCTTGCGCTCGACATCTGTCTCCCTCCCTCGACTTCACCAACACCGCAATCACTCAGTGTCTCGCTCTCCTCAAGCACACTCAGGCGACTGGCCAAGCCCTCCCGCTGCTCCTAGCCCCCAAGACGAGCACCTAACAATTGGCCTTGAAGGTCCTCCGCTCTGATACAAGGCAGCACGCAACCCTTTTTCCCCTTCTGATGCTCGGAGTGGACAGACTAACCCCCTTCTGCCCGTCCCTTCTCAACTGCAGAGCAGGAACTCTCCGGGTCCTTCGCGCGGTGGTCTCCCGCCTCCCGTTATCCTCGACAAACCGCGTCATGTGCCGTTGCACGCTCCTCTGACGCCATGGAGGTGGATAGGCTGCCCATGCGAGAGCACTCGAACTCTCTTCCCCTCCTCCCGGTCGCGACGTCGGTCCCCGTGGACCAGCTGGTGACCTCTTGCACCGCCCAGCGCCCCAGTCACAGGACCGTCTAGAGGCTCCCCGCCGCCCTCAGCACTCACACGAGTCACCCTTCCGCCCCATGCGCGTTCCAGCAATGTCTGTGTCTCCCCCTCCATATGCGCGTCTCGTCCACCTGTGCACAAGATCGCACATGAGTTCACAACTAATTTGCTCTAGCTTCCTCTGCTCAGTACTGCTGTGCAGGAAGCCCATGTTCTCGTACTCTGGTTCATATTATGTACATAGATCCTGGAATATACCTCGTGTAACTTGCATGATTCTCGTACATTGGGAGCAGCAGGTAGTTCCAGGGCACGAACGCGATGGCCATGTCGTGCTCCTGCGACGCCCGCGGGTGGATGTGCCGGTGACACTCGGCGTGCAGGCGGAAGAGGGTGCGCTCAAAGAAGATGAGTTCGGTGAGGCAGACAATGTCGAAGGCGACGACGTGGATGCGAATCTGCGCCGACGTCGAGCTGAACACGTTTGTCTGCGTGCTGTCCCCGCTGGATCCCGTCCGAGTAACTTGAACTGGAGGGCGACGATGAGGACAAGCTCGATCCCGTTTTGTGCATCCACTGCACGGTAAGAACCCAGCCAGCGATTGTGCCGCCCAACAGCGCGAGCTGGAAGAGACATGTCAACGATGAGACTAGGAGAGTTGTGTGTCTCTGTCGAGCCTCCGCCAGAAGTGGTACCAAGGAAATGCACGGTAATATCGTGAGACATGACGACACGCAGAGATTTGTGGCGGCGAGGGGTGTATGAGTGTTAATAAATAGGCGGCAGGTTTGGGTGGGCGCGTGGAAGAGCGTAGAGAGGCCAGGATGCGTAGATAAAAGACAAGTGAGGCGAGGTATAAGGCACAGAACATAACGTCCAAAACTTGCTGGCCGTCATCGAAAGCGTCCGTTCCCCGGTCTGGTCCGGTCCCAGTGCATAAATCTGCGCCCACTGTATGCGCACAACCCGAGCACTGCATGCTTATTCACCCGGGGGATGTATAGTATAGAGCCAAAGAGGTCCTACAATCCTAATGCGTGCGCTAGAGACACATTGCAGATCTCGCAGTAAGCTCAGGCAGGTGCCTACCAACCTCGGCCTATTCCTCGCAAGTAGCCGTATCGACTCTACATGAACAGACACAAACTCATATAGCTCACAGAGTCAATATCTGCCTCTCCATTGCCACACCGCGCGATTGCGGTCATCGGTATCACCTTCAGATACCTGAACGTCAACCCCACATAGAACCCCTGCAGACCGTCTCGCCTCACCGCATCCATCTATCTCCGGATCACCTCGAATGGGTGGGACACCGTCTGCGCAAGCACCCCAGACACAGCTCCGATCGACAGGTCCCCGAGCGGTCCGCCTCGGGTTTTCGACTCACCCTCGCGATGAGGGAAGGAATGGGCGAGGAGCAAGCCCCAGAAGCCTGAGAGGAAGGATGTGCCAGTGTAGGGAACCGATTCTTATCGTAGTGACTGAAAAGCCGCGGTAGAACTTGAGAACGGGGAAGCGAGTGAAGAGGGAGGTCTCCACTTGACCTGCCGTGAGCACAGTAGACGAGGCAGAAGCGGCCGATGGAGGAGCGGGCTGAGAGGTTTCGTGGTATATTCAGCGCATGTCGGACAGGAAAGAGAGTCACTGTTGAGAAGGACCATGAGATTTATGCGTTGCGAATGCCATACGAACTCGAATGAGCTCGAGAGGGTAGGTGAAGAGCACGGACGTGATGCTGACATACAGTTGTTGATCAAAACGCAAGTCGGTAGAGAGACAGAACGCGAGCGCAGTATACCCGAGATGGCCTCGGCAGTAGGGGATATTTGGGGCTATTTCCATATCGCTCGAGATACAATCGACTGGATCTCGAGCAAAGGTGGGGTATGCGGAGAGCTGGCTACCTTCCTGGAGTTTCAATGATCATAAGTGCCAGCCACATTCTAGCGTTGTAGCGGGTGCAAGGATCTCTTGCGCACTCGCTCGGGGAGAGGTGGAGTGCGATCTCGGGCGATCTCACCTCCACTTCGAGCCTCTGTTTTGCGGCCCGGGCTGTGGCAAGTATACCCTAGTGAAGTGGCGCAGGTTGATCTGGCTCTCTCGCGTAGGCATGAGCAACTGGAGAGCTTTGGTTCATTATGTGCCACGGTCATATGTCATGAACTTGATGGCGCAAGAGACGGCGAGCTCGCAGGTCCATATTTGGAAGCAGTCGCGATCATCGACGGCGTCCAAATATGGACCTACAAGCTCGCCTCTTGCGGTTGCCACGTTGACGTCTCGTCCCGTCTCCGCGCCCAGCCTCTCTCCCTTGCTTTCCCTCCCCTGCTCGTCTTCTCGCACGCTCGACGCCTGTCTCCCCTCGCTAGCCTCTCTCGTTCTTCACCCTCATGCTGTCTTTTGCTGCCCCGCTGTCTCAGTACTGTCTCGCTCCCACGCCCATCCGGTCACCACCTTCGCTCGCGTTTTCGCCGCCTGACTCTGGCCTCAAAACCCAACCGTAGGGTGGCGAGAGTGGCGAGGGGAGATGTTGCGAGGAGGAAGAGGGCAAGAGATTGAGGTTAAGGAGCCTAAGGTAGGTTACCATTAATTTCCTGAGGGCGAGCTGCTACTCAGCCTGCCTTCCGTCGATCGCGTTGCCGCCTCAACAGCCACTTCGCAAGACATACACTCCATCCTCTCTATGACGTACTCCGACACACAACCTCGAGGGACTTGGACTCTCTTCCACTGCCTACTTATAGCTGCCCTCAGCGCATGCGGTTGCCCCGTCGGCGTCTCGTCCCTGTGTCTGATCCCGCCTCCTCATCTCGTTACTGCCTCACTCCTGCCCCTCGCTAGCTCCCTCGAGCACTGCGGCGACAGCGCGATTTGCATGCGTCCCTCGTACCACATGCCGCTCGGCCACAGGTGGAAGCCCGTCCCAGGCGTCACGGTCCTCGGCGACGCGACACACGTCATGAGCATTTGGAGACGCAGGTGCCAACCTGGCAATGCTCGATGCCCTGGTGCTCAGCATCGTCCTCGTGGACGCGATCAACAGCGGGACGAGTATGGAGGGGCGGGAGGCTGCCGTAGCAGCATGGGAGGTCTGCACAGAGCCCTCCACTTACATCTTTCAACGCGACAGGTGAGTCCGTCTACCACGTTTCTGTGCATCTGACTGACAACCCGCTTCTCATGCGTGCGTGTCGCAGCATGAACAGATCGACGATCGAAGACGCGCTCAGCATCAGTCCGCGTGACGGATCTGTCCTGTCCAAGAACCGAGACAAGTTTGACCTGGTCACGATCTACGACGACGTGTTCGAGAACATGGGCGACGTGCACTCCCCGGTCTCCGTCCTCTTCAAGGCCATCCACGAGACCGCCTTCTGCAAGATCTTGAAGAGCGTGTCCATGCTGCTCATTGGCGGATTCCAGGCGTGGAAGCATGAGTACGGCAAGGAGGAGACACTGGGTCCTCCACATCAGGTGCGCGTCCTATCCATGGTCTAGCAAACGGCATCAGCCTGTCGCTTGTCGACGGGACCGGAGTGCCTGGTACGCCCCGATGGAGCCCAGGTCGCTTGGGCTGGGACACATGCGGGCCCTGGCACAGTCCTCAACCGCGTCTACCATCATTTTCCCAGTGCCCTCATCACCGACAGTGGATTTTGGTGCAATCTCGTTAGGACCCGCGAAGTCGAGAACAGAGTCGGCTGTAGACCCGAATGCACATCGGCCATGGATCCCGAGCGGGGTGCGGTCACCGGTGGAGCCTGCGCCTGGATCACCAAGGTATGTAACACGTACGCATGTTACTGGCTCGGACGAACAGCTTCTGTGTGTGATCAGCGACTTTGCAAAATTGCGTCTCCGGCTCGTGGTGACTCAGATGTGAGTGTCATGGTACCGATCAAAGCGCGACAGTAGGTGATCGTCGGAGTCCTGCTGGCGCCCCGAGATGCAGGTGGGCGCGCAGAGGCGGTTGACGGGCTTAGTGTAGCCCCCAGCTTTGCTCGCGGACCAACCGATGGTGTGTATGAAGTGGGCGATGGGGTACGAGCACTCTCCGCCCACAACGTCGACAAGGGCGGGAGCTTGAGTGAGACACCTGTGAAGCGGGTGAGGGCGCGTCCTGTTTGGGAGCAGATGCGGGACGGCTCTGGAACCCTACAATGTCGAGTACGACGCGAAAAATAGCATAGATTACCTCTTGTATCACTCGAGCTTCACAAATAGTATGAGATATTTGTGCAAATATCTGGAGGAGCGCAGATATTTGTCGCCGGTAGAAGCAGCATCTCAGATATTTGTTAGCGGCCAAATATTTTCCAACCGAATATTTGAAGAATATCTGGACGTGTGAACATGTGCCGCGTCGCGTGCCTCAGGACGCACGGGGGGGGGAATACTCAGATATTTGGCAAATATTTGGTGGAGGGGGAGTACCCTCCTCCCCTCACTCCTACGTACATCCAAATATTTGGGGTTCACCTCGAATATCTGGGAGGGGCATCCCTCCAACCGTTTCAAATATTTGGAGGGGCCACTATAACATTTGGGCCAAATAATTCGGGTTTTACTATAACTATAAGAACGGAAAAATTTATCTAGTGTGTACTGGTGAAAACGAGGAGCTCCTTTCCGACCAAGCGGGACACGACGGGCCAGGAAGGGTACAGAAAAGCGTGATTCTGTTGCAGCTAGATCAGTGAGTGGATCAACCTCTATAGTCTCGCGCTATGTCGCTGTCGCAGATGCTTGGATGGAGAGAGCTCCAACATGTTGAGTATCTTACAAGCATTCAAGCTTCGATACTTGACGGCCCACTCGGCGGCATGGCTACGGCCATGACAGTCTTTGGAGGTTCAGGTGACATCGCGTCTCGAATCCTTCCGCAAGATAAACCTACAGTTGGTGAGTCATTATTCAATCCACGTCCCGGCGCTAGCCATTGTGCATCTTCGGTCAATTCGAAATCCCTCTCAAACGTCGACGCGGCTTGCGCTCTGCGCATGTCGTGTGACTTTTCCCTGTACCTCTTTCCTCTGATGTATGCGATGGCTTTTCGTCGACCCAGGAGATACCGGTTCCAGTGAGTATCCCCCTGGAACCCTCATGTCTGCCCCATGCTTATGTCCAAGGCATATTCACCGTCTCACCGTGTTGCCCGTACTAGAAGCCTATATTGGGGGAGAATGCGAACAACACGGGGCTAGCGCAACGAGCCGTTCCCTATGTCCTTCCTCTCCTCTCGATGTCCACTCCAAGCGCTCTGTACTAGATGACACACATGATATTTGCACCCCGTATGTGAGGGTGATGCTTGACGTATCCGCTCTTCCCAGTCGAGCGCAGCCGCCCCGATCGCGTCCAAGGAGTCCTGTACACAGACTCAGCGTCCACATTACCTGCACAGTCGCTCTAGACATATATTAATCCTGCCGACGGTACATACCGACGTTCTCGTGCTTATTGCAGCGGAGAATCTCGTCGAAGTCCGAGGACAACGGGTTCCTTTGAGTACCCTGTCTCCTTAGCTCGCCGGTATGCGGCGGCTGCGCATGAGGGATCCGTTGCTACTATAGCAGGAACAAATATAGCCAGTGGGGCGTCGTATCTTCGGTGATCACTGAAGGTTCCTGAGGCTTTCTGCCTGATCCCCGCACTTGTGACCCATAGTTGCCGTGGCCCGCGGTCGAGCCCTCATCCATATGATACTGAGGGCTCGTCCTCGAGCCCAACCCCTTGATTATAGATGGCATGATTGTTATCCTCAGCCGATTCCATTCCTTCTTCCCGGCTGAGCATTTGTCGGGGTCGAACGTTGGGCGCTGAGCTATGTAAAGTTATGACGCCATCAGCTGCTCTCATACGAGAATAGCCGACGGCGAATCAAACAGCACAGCTCAGCTCGTTCTCAAAAGCCTGACATCTGCAGAACCAGTCTGCAAATCATGAGATGGTAGCGTAACAGAGACTACGGCTCCGTGTCGCAGGAGTCTCCTTCGTTGTGTTGATTCCGCAGAGGAATTACGGTGTGGTCGACGGAATGATCCCCGTTGACTATGTGTATGCGACCCTGTACTGCATCAAGAGAGTGTACCTAATGACCCTACTGGGAATGACACATGTGAGGAATGGAGATGGTCTAGATTGTTGTCACGTTTCTCTGGAATCCACTCCTCGGTGATGTTCATTAATGAAGCCGGGGCTCTCGATTCTGCGGAAGGCGCGCCTATCTTGTAAAAGAGCGGATGGCAAGTGAGAACGTCGTGCACGTTTAATTCGAGAGAGGCGATGACGAAGCGTCCAGAGAGGTGCCACGCAAACCTTCTTACGCTTGGGAACTTTCGAGCGGAGACGCTTACTCGGGCGGCAAACCTAAAATTCTGAAAGCTTGTTGCACAGTATGTGGACACTCGCCGGTACAGCGCCGTCCCTTCTCGCGAAAGCATGATGCTTGTGACGTTCGTGTCTGCAACACAGCCAGGGATGGCTGTAGAACCTATGGCTTCTTAGCTTCCCTTGCGTCACGTAGCGTTCCCTGGAGACTGAACTCCCGATGCTCACGGATGGCCCTGATTATGAGTTGCGAAGACATGAATTCGAAGGGTGCCGTCACCCGTGAGCAGATAGGTGGCACTGATCTACCGCAATGGAAGCTCCCTGTCCTACGGCCTATGAGGCACTTACATCTCTGTCGGAACATGAGGCTACTAAGGGACCCCATGATCCGGCAGGTATAAGTCATAGCTGGTAACGGACCATCGACAAGTTCATCCCCTCCATGCTGCCAATACACTCGGAACAGTATACCCTTCTCGTGCCGCTCTACTATCCTGTTGTACCCACGTGGTATCACTATCCCTCGTCCTCACCAAGCCAGCCGTATTGTATGTCCCCGAGAACACTCTTTTCGTAGCCTTGCATCTAGTCTGACACATCCCCATCTTCAGCTCCTATCTACCCCTTGACGGGTGTACCGCACACGCAGAGCTCTTCTGCCTCCAGAGCATCAAAATCCGCAAGGCCCAGCCATCATATACGATCGCATGAACTGCGTTCTGCGCCAACTTCACCAGCGGGACCTCCCAAAGCGCCCCTGCTGAAGAATATCCCCTTGCCGCCGGACGATACGCAAATGTCCAAACATGATGCATCTCTGTACACGGTCGGCGAAGCATCGTCCCCAACCAATATGCGTCCGATCATCGATCCCCTTCTCACTATTCCTCGTCAAAACGCTGAGCCGCATATCTCGTGGGACCTGACGCAGCACCCCTCGGCGGCCTTCAGAAATTATCATCTCACCCCCGACGCTCTTTTACGACCCTGCGCCGTTCACTCAAGCCGCCGAGCGGGAAGACTACCACTCAAATCGCTAGTCCTGATCTTGCCTCACCTTCCGGTGGAGATCAAGATCCCGTCCTTACGCGCGTCATCCCGGGTGCCATCCTCGTACGCCACCGTGTGGGACGTTCTCGAAGGCCTATATCATGGTCTGCAGACACCCGTAGGGTCAAAAGAGCTCCAAAGTCTCAGTCCGTCACAGCGGGCGACGCTGGTGGACGCATCGAAGCTCCGGCGTCCATGCGTTCCTGAAGATGAGACTTGGGGACATGTGGTGCGGTGGATAGATTATCTTTCCCACCGGCGCCGCTTCTTAGGCATTCGTCCTGCTATGTTTGATGAATTGCCACCAGGGAGGACGCTTGGAGAGGTGTTTGTGGTTGAGGTAGGGGCAGTTTGGTGATAGACCCTGATCTTTGTAGTGAATTGTTGCGTTAGTGAATATGAATACCCACGCAAAATGTGCTGCGAGGCGTACCTGACGATGCGTCCTAGAGTGACTCCGCTGCGCAAGACTCTGCCTTGATCTTCCAATGTGTTCTTGAACACCTGGAATCATTCAAGTCGTTGACTGTCGTGAAACACCTCTTTCAACCTGCTACAGTGACCGGTGCACGATTCATCGGCCTGAGGTTGCGGGTCTGAAGACTTATGAGCCAGGCTAGCTCATGGCGTTTTAATCGGCCCCGGGACCGGCGTCGAGGACCAGAATTTAATACAGTTCTATTTAGTGGTGACTGCACCGCTATGAGAAGTACCAAGCCGGTGTACGCTCCCATATGATTGTACAGTTTTGAGAACTTGATCTACACACGGAGCCAGAGTCAACGTTCAGACTGTACATAGCACTTACTGGCAACGCGAAAGCAGGCAACCAAAACAAGCGCGTAGTATCGGAGTGCACGACACCGTGGCAATCGTGCCTTGTCTGCCGAGCTGAAGCCGAACCTACCAAATTCTCACATCGTCTACTTAAGTACTGTTGTGCACTTTTTACCCGACTCCGACATTTTCCGTCCATGTTACTTCGAAACTTCGCATGCCTGACGACTCAGCATGGACCCTCCCTTTCACAAATTGTCTGGAGCCCTGTCTATGGTGTGTCTCCTACTCGCTACGCGCCAGCTCTGCGTCTTTCCCTAAGTCAAGCACCCGGCCGTAGCTCCGCTAGAGCATCCCAACGACTCAATTGTACTCCTAGAGTGTTCTACTGACGAGCTCCATATATATAATGAGAGATGTGACATGAAATCCCTTCGCTGAACAATTTGTCACCCACTTTTGCAACGTGGCCACTGCACGATCTCGAACACGTGTCAGTTGTGAGCGCAGGCGCAGCGACATTTGAGCCATTCTCGCCTGCTGCGCGCGATATATGTACTTCGAAGTGAGTGGCATCAGCGAACAACTAGTCTACCTTTGGCTTCTTCGCAAACCTTAACGTTTCACAGGGAAAGTAACCCCGCCCAGTGATATCGCCAGCCCGAAACCTACGAGTCGACGCTGGCAACTGCAGTCATTGTCTTACATCACTTTATACACGTTGAAGGTAAAATGTTCAATTTGTTTTGAGTACAAGCGTCCTGATTGGTTGACATCTAGGAACCCGAGTTCATCGGGCCCGGCGCACCTACCTGTACTCCTTGTTGAGCCGTCGTGTCTGTTCCCTTGACAGTGACCGCGGTGCGTTATGTTTCTCGCTCCCATATCGTAAATCAACACCCTAGTACTCTAACGACCCTATCATACTGCGTCAGGAAGGTCCCGTCATCACAGAAGTACATATTGAGTTTTTGGTGCGTTAAGGCATGCATCGTTGGCGCATTTCACAGCGGGAATCCAGCCCGGAGGCTAGCGTCTTGGAAGCGTCGCACTTAGGGTACTTATGGTATTCTCGACCAGGTCTCCTGATACCGGCAATGAGAGCGACTGAGCCTGACAGGCCTGGATTCACTCTTCTGCGCTTCGGACCTCGTGCATGATGTTCCCACCGCGCCTCGCTGACAATAGCCCACGAGGCCTCGTACAGCATGTGGCTTCAAGGCTGTATTCAAAAGCCTCGTCTATCGCCTAAATCCGGGTCTCATTAGTGAAGGGTGTATACGACACCATTTCGAAACAAATGCAAGCTATGTAGTAGCGTCTGCGAGTCCCAATGACGCCGCGGAATGTTTCATCGCGCATGTGTTCTGCTTGCCACATGTTGACCGCGTTGGTTGCACAGCCGTTTCTCATTGAGTGTCCGCTTACGTTACGGCGTCATCGTTGAAGCTTCTCTTAGATATCTTAACTGCCTGTCAGCCGTTCACAGAGCCTTCTCCGACGTCTATCCTGTGCGGATGGGCTGTGGCATCGGTATAGCCAGAGTGCTTAAAGGCAGCCCAAAGACACTTCTCTTTCTTCAGATTCTCCCCCCACACTCTCCACGGTCTGCGAAGCAGAACGTGGCGCTGGGGTACGATCTCCGGAATAGGCTCCTTCGCGCTGGGACATGCCCACGATCCCCATACTCCGTCGGTTTACTGCACCTTGGAATCATTTTCAGCCTCAAGGCAAAGTTCTCCTCAAGCGTTTCCATACTCAGCTGAAAGGAAACGATAGACAAGACGCAGTTGTCCGGAAGAACCCAAAGAAGGCCTTGATTATCGGAATTGGATATGAGAAGGGAAGCGGGATCGACAAGCTTCCCAACGCCCATCGTGACGCGAAAATGTGGAGTGAGCTTCTGAAACGTGCGTATATTCCTATTATCATGACATCGCTCTCATCCCGTATGCCTTTTAGGCAAGTACGGTTTCGACAAGCGGCATATCGTGATGATGCTCGACGATGGCCAGGATCCATGGCTGCAACCCACGAAGGCCAAAATAGTAAGCCGTGAAGAATTGGTTGCTTCTGAACGTGTATCTAAAGTCCTTGTCCCTCAGTTGCGCGAGATCGAGCATCTGGTTCAAGGAGTCGAGGCGGGCGACGAATTGGTCTTCTATTGCAAGTCTCACTACTAGCCCCCATCCCTCCATGACTAATGCAGGCGGACATGGTAGACTCGGGACACACCGGCCAAGTCGAGACAGATGATACGGATGAAGACGACGGCCTGAATGAAGGTAGGACATCTTCTGTCTTTTTCCGCTCGTCCCCAGCCTTTGCTCACATAGATAGTCCTCATACCCTTGGACCACGAAGGCTACATCGAGCCCGGAAATATGGACAAGCTCATCGTAGATAATGTGAGCATCTATTGACGTGGATTTGCGTTGTTCGGTGCCTGATATACTCTTGCTGTACGTCTACTTCAATCACAGGACTTGCGAACGATGCTCGTCGACAAACTACCTATCGGATCTAAGCTTACTGCGGTCTTCGACTCCTGCCATTCGGGAACGCTCCTGGATCTGGACCACTACTTATGCAATGAAGTATACCAGCCGTTTTTATGTCGCACGCCAAGTCAGCAGAAGTCCAGGTGGATGGCCGTCAGTGAGTGATGAACATGCCATCATCTTAGTATAAGCTGAATCAACCTACATGATGTAGAGCGGAAGGACGCTTGTGGTGAGATATAATGCTGTTTATCCAGTGCAATCGCTGACTTCCATCTCCCAAGACGTGTCCGCCGATTGGGAGGTACGGGAAGGACAGGCTGTCCCTCGCCCTGTCGTCAGAGGTACGCCTCTGAATTAGCCTATACCTTCGTATGATGAAATACCAAATTTCTTTGGCATCATAGGTTCCACCGGTAGCAGAGAAGGAACGAGGATACACCAACGTCTGCGCGAGTCTTCGGAGAAGATCTCATGTGTTGATACCTCGCTTACGCGGCTTCCCAACGGCGACAAGGGGGAAAGACGCTTTCAATTATACACCTCAGAGCACACGTCCACACATACTGCACAACGAGCGAACTCACCAGTGACTCCCTCTGCTCATCATGTCGGGACTACCGAGCAGACTGCTCGGACGGACACTCGACAGAGTGAGCAAGCGACGCGAACGACGAAGCGGGCGAGTGTACAGATACGGCAAACCTCTGGCCAGACAGAGACTACGGAATGGACAAAGCGCACCGCCAGCCGTCAGAACTCTCTCACCTCTGTCATGAGCTATCTAGGCCTACGCAGAACCACCTCTCCTGAGCCCATGCCTGATAGGCTCTGTGTCTCGGGCAAGTGTGCCATTACAAGCCTTCCAATAACGGATGTGGTGGGTGTCGCACATAGAATTGCGACCCATTGAATGACCCAGTCTATTTCAGACGTCCATCTCAGCATGCCATGATGGGGAGGAAGCGTATGATGGAACGGATGGTAGAACTATGACGAAGGTAAATGACACTCTGGCACTCGCAATGCGACCAGCTCCTAACCTCCGAACCTCACAGATACTAGTCGAGTTGCTGGGTATGGACGTTCACACGGATGAGAAGGTGTATCCTCTTGACATACATTTTCTTGACATACATTTTTTGAGCAGAGGAAGACCCTCATCCGACGTATCTGACCCTGGCTACCGAGCTCGCGTAGGTTCTACCCCTTGATCTCCATCAGAGCGGCACTCACATTTTTGTCTGCAGAAATAAGTGCTGTGCTCGAATCAAGCGTATCGATAAGAGCAATCGCAAGCGCAAGGCAGCGAATGCGAAACGGACCCCCTCAAAGCAGAGACCGGTTCTCGAACGTGTCAACTGGTCCGTTCCGCAGGTAAGCCTCCGTGTCCCTATCTGCGCCTTCCCACGTCTTGACGTGAGCCTGTCTGATGATAGATTGGGAGCATGCTACCGGGAGTGCGTCAGGAATTTGTTGAACAACCAGAACTTGCAGCTTACTGGGCGACGTCCAGGCGCTCAATACCCGCTTTATGAAGAACGATACCCGCAAACTGAGATACCCCGAGCCTCTTCGGCCTAACTTTGTCTTAGAGCATACTGAACGCTCTTAATGTCGTACCCAATGATGGACTCCAATCTTCCTTTCTTCATTGACGTTTCGCTCAGCATGCTCTCCTCCAAGCTCTATGAATGTCTCGCTTTCATATGCTTCTGAATTTGTCCCTATACTAAAATTCGCTGTAATCGACGCTTTCGAGTATAGGATTGTCGTAGCGATTCCCTGTCGCCCATAATCTACTTTTTATCCACGTTCGATTCTATGGTAACACACCGAGCCCAGTGCTAGCAGTCGGCGCCTAAGAGCCTGTGGAACATCCGCGAGTTGGGACGACTCTTGAACAAGCGCTGTACAAGACATTGGAGGTGATAAACTCGGGGCTGTGAAGACAAGGATTAGATCCGACTAGAGTCGAAGCTAGAGTCGAAGCAAGATCTTCAGTCAGTAAGGAAAGACTCTATTGCAGCAACGAACTGTACCTAGAGTCGAAGCAAGACTACAAAGGTTAAGTAAGTAACTACAAGTTAGAGGTAGAGGTAAGGAAGTACTCACTCTTCAGTCAGTAAGGAAAGACTGAAGAGGGAGGACGCAATCTGAAGTCCTTATATACTACAGAGAAGAGTCCATGACTAATCGAAGAGTGGTTAGTCACATGTACCATAGTGCGATGAATAATACAACGACGAAAGAATTGCGACGTATCGCATCATAGGATGAGTAAGAGATGAGTAAGGCATAGACCTGTCTAGACCGTTCTGGAGTAGTACGGATTGTCCTAGACAGTACCAGAAGAGTCCG